ATTTCGTCACCAATGTGGGGAGAGAAGTTTTCGTCAATGCCAAATTTCATCAATCTAAAAGTATCTCTACATGAAATTAAGTTATCATGTACTATATATTGGTGAATTGATGCTTAATAATCATAATGGTAGTTACACCGCAATGGTGATAGAGTATAGATCAGGGTGCGAAGTCAAATCTTTAAACAAAAAATAAGCACTTTTTAAGTACTCAAAAATATTTTTCAGCACTACATACATTAACAAAATGCAAAATAATTTTCAAAGACTTTAGATGATCATGTGAAAATAAAGAATTTCTGACAAAGAACTCTTTTCTTGATTATATTAGCCGTTATAAAATGATCNACCGCAATGGTGATAGAGTATAGACTAGGGTGCGAAGTCAAATCTTTAAACAAAAAATAAGCACTTTTTAAGTACTCAAAAATATTTTTAAGCACTACATACATTAACAAAATGCAAAATAATTTTCAAAGTCTTTAGATGATCATGAGAAAATAACTAATTTCTGACAAAGAACTCTTTTCTTGATTATATTAGCCGTTATAAAATGATCGAGAGAATTTTCACTTCGATATCAGAGGGTGGAAAATGAAGTCTGAAATTGAGAATATCTTGCAAAATGCACCGAATCCAGCTCAGTAGACGCACGTACGGACTCGCAAGTATTTCATCAAACATGTAAAATCATTGACGCTTTCATACGCTATGGACTGACTGTACGCCGAAATGAATTGTGAAAACGTTGAATAGAACAATGCGAAAAGCATGCGAATGCATAATACGTGGCAAAAATAAATCTTATTTTGGAAAAGGGGAAATTAAGCACCTTTTAAAAGCACCCAATGAAAAAAAAAACATCTTTAAGGCTTTTAAATAACGAAAATCGAAAATAAGCACCCTTAAGCACTTTTTAAAAACGCTACGCACCATGTAGATGAAGAAGGGAGCAATAGGGCTCCAGAAATTTAAAACTAGATTTTATTTTTTGAAATGCGTATAATTATAAATAATTAAAAAATCTAAAATAAATACAGATGTAAGTTCCCTCAATCTTCTGAGTGCACCAATATGAACTGCAAAGAAAACTGCTTCACAACTTTTTAAAAAATAGTATTAGGTCAGGCAGTTTAATTCACAGGTCTGGAGTGATATATAACCTTCTAATTTGACTTCATTGTATGTATAAACTGAATATACATATGCTAAAACTTGGTTTTTATTGAAATATTAAGATGAAAAAGGACAGAAAAAATTTTTGAGAATGGTTATGAGAGAGACATATTTCTCCATCATTGAATTAGTTTATTTTTATTCCATACAAAATACTAATACAATTTTTTAGAAATGTGTCCTTTTCACTATTCATTCAATATATTATTATTAGAATTTGGGTTTCTTTTTCACAAGCATTTTAATTAAATAATTTCATAAAAATAATGAAAATATTAAATAAATAATATGTAATTAATCAGATATAAGTTTAATAACAATTCCATATTTTGGTTATTTTTATTCCATACGAAATATAAATACAATTTCTTAAAACTTTGTCCCTTTTTCTTATTTATTCAATATATTGTTATAAATTTTTTTTTCAATTTTGCTTTTTTTCACAAGCATTTTAATTAAATAATTTCATAAAAATAACGAAAATATTAAATGAATAAAATGGGTAATTAATCAGACATAAGTTTAATTACAATTCAAATTCATAACTGGTAAAAAAAAGTCTGAACTCTCGGTGCCCCTGTGACCCTTCCACCAAACCTAAGGGAATGCAGAACACCATTTGGGAACTGTTGTTCTATGGAATGACTTAGGCATCGTATATAATGCCTAAATTTAGCTGGAAATATATGAAACGATTCATTCTTTACACATTTCCAACACATTCCAAATGCCAATGTTAGGAATTCCATATGAGAACAAAGTACGATAAAAATGTCATTCAGGAGCCAATCATGTTGCAACATGCTGGTTAATTTTAATTTCGTTCTTTTAATATGAAAATTTTGTTTTCCTTAATAAGAAAGGCATACATTTTGTTTAATACAAATTTTTTTTCTTTATGTATTTTGAATAGCATTCTCATTATTATTTCAGAAACTTTTGAATATGGCACCACATTTATATAATAACCTTATCAGAAACATTATTCATATTTTTCCTAAATAGCATTTCTCTATAGATATCTATAGAATGTCTATATACAAGTCAAGTATGTAATAATTCTCACATGTCATACTATGATGAAAAATATCTAGCATTATGCACAAAACCGCAGTTTCATACAATGCCAGTAAGATATATACAATAATATATTTCATAATACAAAAATATATATTAAAGGTGGTGATTTCAGAAAACCTTGAATGATGAAGAAAACAATGCAAAGTGTTCAATAATCAGTGAAAGAAAGATTTCAAACAACGTAATTAATTTGATTTTTGGCATTGCTCATTTGCGAATAAAATAAATAAATTACACATATTTAAAATTTTTTTTAAATTTCTAGGACACAATTTTGTTGTTATATCATAATCATTTCTTCATAATAATTTGCCATAAAACTATTGGACCAAAAAGTGTAGTCTGACTGAATATTACAAAGTGTCACTTCTTTCAATACTTTTTACACTTTGTATTAATAATCTGCAAAGTTACATCATAATTATTTCTTCATAAAATTATTGATAAATGTGCAAAAAGTGCAGTTTCAGTGAACATCACAATAGTCTGTAAGGCAGCATTACAAAGTTTCCCTTCTCCCATTATTTTTTACATTTTGTATTAATAATCTGTAAAGGAGGAGGGCTTGGGAGATAAAAAAAACCTCCTCAAAAATTATACATAATTTGATTAATAAGCAATTCAATAATAAGTAGGATATAGACATAACAAAGTTTTCCTCATTCATTGTTTTGTCATTTAAACATCAAACATTTAGGGGATATATATATATATATATATATATACTTAATAATAAAAATATATAATAGTGTTTTTATAAATACATTTTAGGAACTAAAATTTCTAACTTTTCCTAAAATTTTCGACTTTTACCTTAAAACAATCTTTTTTATTCAGATCACAATAAACTAATCACAGTCATATATTTTAATATAGTACACTTTTTAATATGTTTAATATACAAATGAATAACAGATAGTTTACACTCTATATAAATATAATTTATTTTATTCAAGAGAAGAATAAAAAAGACTAAAAAAGATTTCTAAAAGACTTTACTCTAAAAAATTAGACCCACAGAACAAAAACAAAATTACATAATTTTTTTTTACCGAGTAATAAATTTTCATTGACTACCATAATTAAAAGGTTGATTTCAAATATACTAATTCATTAGCGCATAAGATATTTTAAGAAAAGATATTGAACACAAAAAGAAACCTTTTCCAAATAAACACAATTTTCTTCGGACAGAATAGGACACTGACCAGGTCAGTTTTCAAATCTTCAACGGAGACCCTGGTAAAAATCTTGGCAGAAGTCCCTGGCACAAAACCTTTGAATTGGGCTGACTCTATCTAGACAAAATTAATCACACCAACCAATAAACTCTTGAATTTGAATTTTAGCAATTTTAATTGGTTTACTTTTTTCTAACAAAATTAGTTCAAGAATTTTATTTATTCTTATGCTATTTATTGCTTTATTCATGTTAACTAGCATTATTTTCATAATAAGCACTAAGTACCCCCTATTGACATTTGCGATAAAATGTTTATACAACAAAATATAAGAGCTAACCAAAAAGTATTCTTTTGAAAAAGTAAAATTTTTTTAAATTTGAAACATTGTAGAGATTATTGAGCCTTTGCAAAGAATGGGCCTTGAGTTCAGCTGCTAAGGAAGAGATCAGGCTCTGCTTAAAACGATTGCCATTTCGATTTTTTCATAAAAGTATTTTCCTTAGACGAAAAAATTTAGTTTGATACAGAATCAGCTTGCTATAATAAAACTCACCACTTTCTATAATCTGGCATCATATATTTTTGAACTGCTAAAACACTTTACCAAAATGTAAGGTAAACTGAAAAATATAAGAAATAATATCCTTTTTGCATAGCTGCTAACATGGATGGAAAAAATCTAGTACATTTAACAAAGTAATATAAATTTCATGATAATTGTTGCAAAATGTACTAATTATTTCACACATGGGGAATTTTAGGGATTCTTAAAGTCATCAAAATAGAAAAACTGCAATATTTTCTTCTCATGATTAAATGAACTTGAAATGTTATACATTATGTTTACTCTTAATTTTGAATAGTAATATGCATTTAATTTATCAAAGATAGTTAAACAGATTTTTAATTTATTAAAAAAGGGAGTTCTGAATAAAAATAAACTCAAAATTTTAGAACAAAAAAGTTTGAAATTGATTTTTATAAATGAGGCTTGCTTCATTTTGTATTAGTAACACATATTTAAATATTCAAGCAAAGTAATAATCTGTGCAAAAATTCTATTTCAATAGGGATTTCTTTAGGAAAATTTAACCAATTTTAGTGAATTTTTAAAAATGTACAATTTTAATTAAACCAATAGATCAGGAGAAACTGGCAAAATCTAGTAGTATACTGGAAAGTACAGTAGAGTTGGTAGCTATACTTTTATGTAAATCTATTAGTAAAAGAAGTTTTAATACAAAAATGGGGAAAATGCTTTTTGAGTTTAGCGCTATTTTCTCATTACAGGCATGCAATGAAAAATGAAATGCGAGAGATATTCAGTTAATAAGAAAGATTACTACAATCAAATACACAACTCTGCAGTGAGATTCAATAAGTTGAGCTTAAATACAAATAGGCTCACACAACTCACATTTTCCACAGGAAATAAAGGGGAATCAAATCTAAATATAATTTTTAAAAATAAGATCATAAATCATAAGACAAATAATAATAAAAAAAGTGCCTTCCCCTTCGATATTCAGAAATAGGCCATACTGCACACAAATCTGAAAATTGATTCTAAAATAATAAAAAATTTTAATGTGTCTTTTACCTCTAATACATGGAAATATGAAAGCACACATCTTTCTGAATAAATTTCAAAGAATTGTTCACTTAGTTTAAAGGAACTAATTAAAAATAATGTGATTTTATAAAAAAATCTAGGCTTCATAGTGAGTACATTTTTTTTTATAACAAAAACTGCAATTGCCTTAAAGTAAAATAGAATACTGATAACAACAATATAACAAAATAGACTAGCCACCCAAGAATAATCTTTTGACCTAGATCACAACTTAAATAACAACTACACTGAGCACAATAACAACTGTTGATAATTAATTACACTTCAATTAAAGTAGACAGAAATATGTCACATTACACTACATAACAGTAACATATTTTATACAGTAATATATTTCAATATAGTGTATCTGCAATATGTTTTAAACATAAATATAGTAATTTCAGACATGAATACATTGACGTAATGCTTTACAATCTATAATTGAATTTGTTCAAGAGGAGAAGAAAACTCTAAAAAATCAGATCCAAGAAAAAAAAAAATTTGATAATGTATTTTTATGGACAACCAAAAATTGAATTTTTGATTTGAAATATGCAAATTAATAAGCGCATAAGATAAGGCATCTAACACAAAAAGGAGAAGAAGCTTAGGAGGGGATCAGGCTCAGCTTAAAGTGAATGCTCGGTGTCTCGATTTCTCTCGTAAAAGTGTTTTCATTAAACAAAAAAGCTTAGTTTGGTAATGATCATTCTTGCTAAGATGAAAATCATCACTTTCTATAATCTGGCTTTGTAATTTTTTAAACTGGTGAAATACTTGATCAAAATGTAAGGTAAACTTAGAAATATAGGAAATAATATCCTTCTTGTTCCGTAAATCCATCAGTAAAAGACGCTTCAATACAAAAATGGGCAGAATGCCTTCTGAGTTTCGCACCATTTTTTCTAAACTAGCATGTAATGAAAAGCTTCTCAGGCAAATTTCATCTTCATCAGTACCTAAATAAGTAAAAAAAAGAAATTAATATAAAATTTTGAAAGTAGTTATGAGCTGTGCAAATAGATTTCTATTATTTTTTTTAAGTTGGTAATTTTAGATTTCTTTCCCACACATATTTCCGTCTATTTGATATTATTATCAATTTTTAATAACAAAGGGAAGAGTTAAGAGTGCTTGGTATTCTCCTTTATAGGTCCAAGACCATTTGTGTCAGAATCCTTAAAAGGTGTGTCTGTCGACTTGTAAGTACATTAGCTTTGCAAACTATTTCTGACAACACTATTTATATCATTATTATGTCACTGTGTTTGGCAACGACTTGTACATTCATATATCAGTGGTCATTGCGGGTGTAACTTGTGTACTTGTTAAATAAATAATTTCAAGAAAATGAAGCAGTAAGATCAAACGACAAAAATTAACATATACAAAACACTCCTACGGCTGGTGATCCTATATGGTAGTGAGTGCTGGACTCTTAATAAAAAAAAGGATAACAAATTGCTGATTTTTGAGACAGGGATACTTAGAAAAATTTTTGGTGCAGTCTCTGAGAATAACAAATGGAGCACCCTTTACAATCATGAGTTATATAAAATCTATAAACAACCAGACATAGTTCATGTTATTAAGGCCAATCGCATTTCATGGCTGGGACACCTTTTTAGATCTGAAGACCGAACCCCCACAAAAAAAGTACAAACCAGAAGGTAAAAAAAAGGAGTCGTTCACCGACTAATTGGCTGGATGCAGCTGAGAGGGGCCTAAAGATAATAAGAATAAATAACTGGAAGGCCACGGCACAGAATAGATCAAGATGGCAAAAACTTATTGGGACAGCCTTGGCCTGTCATAGGCTGTAGTGACCAAGAAGAAGAAGATGCAATAAGATATTACCTGATTGAAAAACTTCATTCACTTAAAAATAGATACAGTCAATTCGCTATAACTTGAAGTACGATAACTCGAATATTACTATAACTCGATTTTTTTATGAGATCCCGACCCTTTTATCTTCAATTTCATGTTAATTATTCTCGATTACACGAATTTTACTTCCTTTAACTCGATTTTTTTTTGGATCTTTTAAAGCAAGAAAAAAAACCTAGGAGCTGATATCTTGCCCCTTCCTTTGCAACACACACACAATGTCTTTCGCACTCTTCATGGAGAAGCTAAAGCTGTCCCTCTTGAAGTATGTGAACAGTGGTTAAATGAAACGTTACCAAATTTACTTCAAGGATACAGTTAAAATGATGTTTTCAATATTGATGAAATGGGTTTATTTTTTAAATGTCTTCCAAATAAGACTATGATGTTTAAGGATGAAAACTGCTCAGGGGGTAAAATGAGCAAGGAACGTTTGACTGTCCTAGTTGGAGGAAATGCGTCTGGGACAGAGAAATTGCCTTTACTTGCTATCGGAAAATACCGAAATCTCCCGATCTTTCAAGAATGTAAAAACGTATCCTTTGGATTACAAGTCTAACAAAAAGTTTTGGATGACATCAGCATTATATGAAGACTATGTAAGAAAATTGGATCAGAAATTCTTCGCTAAGAAAAGAAAACTGATACTCTTTATGGATAAATGCACAGCGCATAGTGATCTACCAAATTTGAAAGCAGTAAACTTGCAGTTTCTCCCGCCAAACACAACAAGTTGCAGCCCATGGACCAGGGTATCATAAAGTGCTTTAAACAGTCTTATCGTAAATGGCTTGTCAGAAAAATGATCTTAAACATCGTAAGCATTTAGAAGATGAGCATTAATTAAATAATCCGACAATATTTTGAAAGTCCAAAACCGAAACTAACGGTAAGTCGAACTTCCGATATGTCGAAGTTTTTCGTCAGTCCTATCAGATTCGAGTTATCGCGAATTCACTGTATATGTGAAAAAACAGTCAACATGTTTCAAGCACTCTAAAAATAGGCACTCATTTTCAAGACTTACCAGACATGAATGTAAAGAAGCAAAAATGATTTGAAATAAAAACAAAGTTGTCAATGAAAAAATAAAGGTGTGAAAGAAAGCTAGAAAGAGCACAGGAGCTGAGAGAAAAAAAAAGAGATTAAAAACAGAACAAGAAAAGTCTCATTGGCCAAGATACAAATCAGAGTAAAATGCATTTGTACTCTTCATGGGGAGGTGGGAGGAACCAATGTTGTTAACAAGGGAATCAGCATTCAAATGAATAAAATAAGATTCCAGGGCATCAAGATGAGCTGATGTGTTTGAAGTGGAAACAGTGGAAATTGAACTTATGCTCAAGATTCCAACAATGTGAAGCAACTGAACATTTCTTGAATTCCTGATAATGGACATATCTGTCATATTTTTTAAGTCTAAATTTTAAAGCTAAGGTCACACTGACAAGGAATGTGGTAAATGCCTCAGTGATTATTAAAGCTAATAGGATTTTTAGGAGACTTAAATTTGAGTTTGTAAACAGGCCAGAAAATGACTTTAAAACCAAAAACAGGAGAGGATGCAAGCAATTATAACAAATGGGAGAAAACAACGGTCAAGTAATAAGCGTTCTGTAAGGATTAGAAGGAGAGGGGCATTTGGGTGTAAAAAGTTAAAGAAGAAGAGTCAGGGTAAAGGTTTAGCGCACAGAAAAAAGAGTGAAATGCAGATGTTTTCTGATAATTAGGGTGAAAAGAATTAAATTGAGCAGGACAAAGAGACAGCAAATTTTTTTCAATACACAAAGGGGAACCTCTTTATAAGATATCTATGATAAAATGATTTTGTTAAATAACTTTACAGAGGAGCAGTTTTAGCCTAATATCTAAAAAAACAAACAAACAAACTAGTTTGTTAATTATTATAAAATATTTAAACCAATATTCAATGAAAAATATGCATAGATAAAAATAGAGAAAACAATAGACTAGCAAATATTAAATATTGGATAAATTTAATACATATTTCAGTACCTATTGCAAAATGTATTAAAAAATTGCTTTAAAATAATCATGAAAACAATTTATAATTTAATAACAATTTGTTTATAATTGTTCACAATAAAGGAAAAAAATAAAATTCCCATACTTTTTTCTGTTACATGCTGCAGGAAAGGAGTCTGGTCCGAGAATTCAGGATTTTTTCTTGGTTTTCCCCTGCCCAAACACGCTGAAAATAATAATAATAGTAAATAATTCTAAAATTATTTTACTTAAGTATTAGCAAAATTATTATGACTGAGCAGCAAAAACACTGATCCCATTTTTAATTAGTTTTGTAAAATGATAGTTCGTAAAATGCAGAACTTCTCAACAGCAAGGAAAAATATTTTTAAAATTCTGAAATGCACACAAAAATAAAATTGAAGAGACTACTACACACAAAATAATTAAAATATAATATTACAAACAATTAACTAATAATAACTTGTTCATAATATAATTGCTAGTAACATTTTAAAAATAAATTTCCCTTACATTTTCCAGTAATTTTTTCAAGTAGTGAAGGAGTTTGGACGGATACTTCATCATCGTTTCCTGGTGTTTCATTATCCAGACAAACTGTGAAAAGAGGGTGAAAAAATTTATTAATTTTATATTTAAGTTCATTAAAAAATAATGATAATTTTTTAAATGGACGGGTGCATTGCAAAATGTTGGTGACAGTTAGTAAATAGATAGAATTTCCAATAAGCCTATGATGCTTATGAATAATTGTTTTTGTTGAACAAAAAATATATGCACAATATTGATTTCATGCATTTTTCGTTAAAAATTACAGGATAAACTCAGTTTTTTACAGTCTTTCCTTAAAACTCTTAAGAAAGTACTTTAACTATGAACATGAAATCAAGTCAATAAGTAAATTTGATGAAAATTGAATGAGCTATTATGTCTGAGTAGGAAAAATATTGTTTTAAGAAAATGCCATTAAAAAGTAAGTGAATATTTATTTCATTTATACACCTATCATTACATATAGCAAAAAGTCATGAAAATTGTTTTATTAAAAATTTTACAAAGGTGAAATAAGAAAAGAAAAAAAAATTTACTTTCTATTCTTAATAATAATCTTTTAACAACTTTTTTTTTAAATTATAAAAAATATACAAACATAATAAAGAAAACAATAAACAAATAATTATTAAACATAGGAAAATTGTAATACTTCTGTGTTAAACATTTTATTAATTAATTACAATTTGTTTATAATGTAATTGTCTTCAATATGGGAAAAAATAAACTTTCCATACTTTTTTCTGTTATATCTTGTAGGAAAGGAGTTTTATCCAAAACTTCAGGTTTTTTTATTGACCTTCCATTGCCCAAGCATGCTGTAAAGAAAAAAAAAAATTTATTTAAGTATTAGACAGATTAGCAAAAACACAGATCATATGCCATTTCGTCATGAATTCAAATTGTTTTTAAACATATTATAAGCACGCATTTTTTAAGCAAAAATATATATTTTTAATAGTTTTCTTAGTAATACACCAAGTGATTTTTGAAAAAATAGTTTGATTAATAACTTCTTGATGCACACGTTCGATCTGTGCCCATTTTGTTGTGAATTCTTATCCTGTTTTGAGCTGCTTTTTCACTGATTATAGCCACAGATTTCCATATAATTTTTAAAATCTCAATATTTTTATAGCAAACTATAAAGAATCACGAATCTCAAATAACTCATATGTTTTTTTACTACTTTGATTTCATTTTTCACTCATTTCATTGTAAATCCATGTGGTTTTTGATTGCAATATCACAGTTATTGATATAAATTTTTAAATGATTTTTTAATTTTTATGAAAACTTGAGCTGAAAACTTGAACGAGAAGATAACACCATTTGAGCTCAATTCGCAGACCAAGGTTCTAATATAAATATCAAAATTTAAAAGAATGTCAGATAGTTATTAAATCACAGCCCTAAATTTGCAGGTCACCAATTGCAAACAGGTGACATGTGAATGTACTTCACGAGAAAAGATGATGTGAATGTCTACCGTATGTTGAACTCAGTTTCACAGCATTTCAATTCTCAAATTTATTCAACTCTTAATTCAAAGAATTAAAAAATATAAACATAATCAAAACTGTTCTATAGGCAACAAACACTTAATAGTAATCACATGTTGTTAAGTCTGATGATAAAATAAGTGAAAAATGAGAGTTTTGTTTGACAGTATAAAAAATACTCAATAAAATAAATTTTTTAAATGTTGAAAGTTAAGAAAAAAAAATCTCATTTTAATTAATTAGAAAATATAAATAAAATAAAATAGGAGAAAGCATTAGGCATACAAAGAATTTGAATAATAGATAAATTTTTTAATTAGTTAATAAATTTGTTATTAAAATAAATTGCAAAAAATTTGTTCATAATATAACATGCAACATTTGGAAAATAAGCAAATTTTGAAGGAAAAAAAAGCATCATCTCTCATACTTTTTTCTATAACTTTTTGTAGTGAAGGAGGTTGATCCAGAGCTTCAGGGTTTTTTTTTGGTCTTCCTACTTTTAAAGGGGCTACAAAAAGTGACACAGAAAAATAATTCAGAATTACTTTTACAATTTTGATGATAGATTAATGACAAGTAACTAATGAACATATAAACAAATCTGTATACATATTTCTCTCGAATGTTCATAAAAAAGTCATCAAATCAGAGCCCTAAATTTGTAGGTCACCAATTGCAAACAGGTGATCGTATTTCACGACACTTGATGATGTCAATGCTTTTTTTGTTGTTTTACCGTATGACGAACTCAGTTTCACAGCATTTCAATTCTCAAATTCATTCAACTCTTAATTCAAATGATTAAAAAATATAAACAAAATCAAAACTATTCTATAAGCAACAAACACTTAAAAGTAATCACATGTTGTTAAGTCTGATGATAAAGTGGGTGAAAAATGAGAGTTTTTTCTGACAGTATAAAAAATACTCAATGAAATCAATTTTTTAAATGCTGAAAGTTAAGAAAAAAAATTTACTCCTAACTTTTTAACAACAACATTTTAGACACAAGCTTTATATTTTTTAAATGCATGCAAAAACAAAAAAATATAAAACATTGGATACATTTTAATATTTCTGTGCCCACTGTAGAATTTATTAAAAACATTGTTTTGAAATAAATATAAAATTAATTCAAACATTAATAATAATTTCTCTATTATAAGATTACATTAATAATAATTTCTCTATTATATATTTGTAAGATTCCGAAATGCACACAAAAATAAAATAGAAGAATCTACCGCACATAAACCAATTCAAATATAATTAAGCAAATAATTAATTATTTAATAATAGCTTGTTCATAATATATAATTGGTAGTAACATTTTGAAAATAAACAAATTTCCTTTACATTTTACTGTAATTTCTTCAGGTAGTGAAGGAGTTTGGACGGATACTTCATCATCGTTTCCTGGTGTTTCCCTACTCAAACACACTGTGGAAAAGAGATAAAAAAAAATAGTAAGATTAAATTTATATTTAAGTTTCAGGATCATAAGAAATTTGAAATTTGTAAAATGTCAAACTTCTCAATAAGTCAACAATATATATAACTAATTAGTTTACTTAGCACGAAGGTCTTTCTTGATCAAGTGCACATATTTTTACTGTATATTAAAGTCGTTTTAATATCATTTCATTAAAATTCTTAATCTTATTAATTAAAAAGTATAAACATAATTAAAATAATTTTACAGGCAGAAAAAAAATTAAAAGTAATGAACATGACGTTAAATCTGTATGGGTGAAAAATAAAAGAGTTATGTCAGTCAGTATAAAAAAATACTGCTTTAAGAAAATACTGTTAAAAGTTTGTGAAAAAAGTGGTATCTTTGTCATTTAGGTCTTTCTTGATTATGTCATGTATTTTTTTTACTGTATAATAAACTCACTGGTAGAGCATTTTATTAAAAATCTAATTTTAATTAATTAAAAAAAATATAAATAAAATAAAATAGGAGAAAGCATTTGGCATACAAAGTATTTGAATAATAGATAAATTTTATAATTTGTCAACAAATTTTTTATTAAAATAAATTGCAAAAAAAATTTGTTCATAATATAACATGCAACATTTAAAAAATAAGCAAGTTTTGAAAAAAAAAAAAGCATCACCTCTCATACTTTTTTCTATAACTATTTGTAGTGAAGGAGGTTGATCCAGAGCTTCAGGGTTTTTTCTTGGTCTTCCTACTTTCAAAGGGGCTGTAAAAAGTGACACAGAAAAAGAATTTAGAATTTTTTTTAAAATTTTGATGATAGATCAATGAAAAGTAGATAATGAACATGGAAACAAATCTGTTTATATATTTCTCTTAAATGTTTATAAAAAAAGTCATTATTCGTTAAAGTGGTTGAAAGTAAAAAAAACTGAAATATCAAGAGAGTGAACAGTCATAAGCATGAACGCTCCAAGAAATATGTCATAAAAAGTATATATAAACATATCAAAACTATTCTATAGGCAAGAAACACTTAAAAGTAATCACATGATGCTAAGTCTGGTGATAAAGTGGGTGAAAAAATGAGTTGTTTAACAGTATAAAAAACACTCAATAAAATAAATTTTTAAAATGTTGAAAGTTAAGAAAAAAAATTTACTCCTAACTTTTTAACAACAATATTTAAGACACAAGCATTATATTTTTTAAATACAAGCAAAAACAAACAAATATGAAACATTGGATAAATTTTAATATTTCTGTGCCCATTGTAGAATTTATTAAAAACATTGTTTTGAAATAAATATAAAATTAATTCAAACATTAATAATAATTTCTTTATTACATAATTGTTTTAAATATGTGAAAAAGTAAATTATTATACTTCTTTCTGTTATATCTTGAAGAGAAGGAAATTGGTCAGAAAACTCAGGATTTTTCATTGGTCTTTTAATGCGCAAACATATTGTAAAAAAATAATAATTTTGAATTTTTCTTTATTTTAGTATAAAACTGATTAGCGAAAACACTGATCACATTTTTAATCAGCTTGCCCTATTGTAAAATGATGATGATAGTTTGTAAAATGCTCTACTTCTCATTAGCAAGAAAAAATATTTTTAAGATTCTGAAATGCACACAAAAATAGAATTGAAGAATCTACTGCACATAAAACAATTCGAAAATAATTATGCAATAATAATTATTTAATATAATTATAATTATTTATAATAATCATTTAATAATAACTTGTTCATAATATAATTGTTGATAACATTTTGAAAATAAACAAATTTCCCTTACATTTTTCTGTAGTTTTTTCAGGCAGTGAAGGAGTTTGGACGGATACTTCATCAGCGTTTTCTGGTGTTTCCCTACTCAAACATACTGTGGAAAAGAGATTAAAAAAAATTATTAGATTAAATTTTTATTTAAGTTTTAGGTTCATAACAAATATGACATTTGTAAAATGACAGACATTTATAAAATGCAAAACTTATCTGCAAGCCGAAAATATACATAACTAATTAGCTTTCATTGCACAAAGGTCTTTCTTGATCATGTGCACATGCATATTTTTACTGTGTAATAAAGCTGTTTTAATATCATAACAATAAAACTCTTAATCTTATAAAAAATAAAAAAATATAAACATAATTAAAACAATTTTACAAGCAGAAAAAACAAAAAAGTAATGAACATAACGTTAAGTCTGTAGATGAAGTGGATTAAAAATAAAAGAGTTATGTCAGTCAGTATAAAAAATACTGCTTTAAGAAAATACTGTTAAAAGTTAGTGAAAAAAGTGGTATCTTTGTCATTTTGGTCTTTCTTGATCATGCCAAGCATTTTTTTAAACATCATGCTGTATAATAAACTCACTTGTAAAGCATTTTATTAAAAGTCTCATTTTAATTAATTAAAAAATATAAATAAAATAAAATAGGAGAAAGCATTAGGCGTACAAAGTATTTGAATAATAGATAAATTTTATAATTTGTCAATAAATTTGTTATTGAAATAAATTACAAAAAATTTGTTCATAATATAACATGCAACATTTGGAAAATAAGCAAGTTTTGAAAATAAAAAAAAAAGCATAATCTTTCATACTTCTTTCTATAACTATTTGTAGTGAACGAGGTTGATCCAGAGCTTCAGGGTTTTTTCTTGTTCTTCCTACTTTCAAAGGGGCTGTAAAAAGTGACACAGAAAAATAATTTACAATTATTTTTACAATTTTGATGATAGATTAATGAAAAGTATCTAATGAACATAAAAAAAATCTGTATACATATTTGTCTTAAATATTCATAAAAAAAGTCCTTAATCGTTAAAGGGGTTTACAGTAAAAAAAAAAATTGAAATATCAAGAGAGTGAGCAACCATAAGCACAAATGCTCAAAAGTAAATGTTATAAATTCCCGAATAAAAACATTTGGAAAGTAAGCAAATTCCGAAAAAAAAAAGCATAATCTCTCATACTTTTTTCTGTAACTTTTTGTAGAGAACGAGGTTGATCCGGAGCTTCAGGGCTTTTTCTTGGTCTTCCTACTTTTAAAGGGGCTGTAAAAAGTGACACAGAAAAATAATTTAGAATTATTTTTACAATTTTGATGATAGATTAATGAAAAGTAGCTAATGAACATAAAAAAAAAATCTGTATACATATTTCTCTTAAATATTCATAAAAAAGCCTTATTCGTTAAAGGTGTTTGCAGTAAAAAAAAATTGAAATATCAAGAGAGTAAGCAACCATAAGCATGAATGCTCAAAAGTAAATGTTATAAATTCCCGAATAAAAACATTTGGAAAATAAGCAAATTCTGAAAAAAAAAAAGCATAATCTCTCTTACTTTTTTCTGTAACTTTTTGTAGTGAACGAGGTTGATCCAGAGCTTTAGGGTTTTTTCTTGGTCTTCCTACTTTTAAAGGGGCTGTAAAAAGTGACACAGAAACATAATTTAGAATTATTTTTATAATTTTGATGATAGATTAATGAAAAATAACTAATGAACATATAAATAAATCTATATACATATTCCTCTTAAATGTTCCTAAAAAAGTCCTTATTTGTTAAAGGGGTTGGAAGTAAAAAAAACTGAAATATCAAGAGATTGAGCAGTCATAAGCATTAATGTTCAAAAATATATGTTGAATTCCCAAATAAAAATTCTTTTCTTGCCTTGGCAAGCTGACCCAAACTGAGCTATAAAAGAAAGGTTAATCGCAAAAAAGCTCGTATCAACAATCAAACTTTAATATATTCTCCTTTTAATTACATTTATCAATTTATGCTGGCACAATAACAATTTAGAGTTATATTTAAGTTTTAATAATGCCTAATAATTAACTCAAGAGAGAGATGCGTTTTATCACTGAACATCGGCTAGTCATGTTTTTTTCTTTTGGTTTACTATCATTTTACGAGTAGATGATAGTAGAGTTAGATTAAAGAAGTCATGAGTTCAAGTAAGAATAAAAAATATCATTGGCCTCCAAACAATGAAATTTATAATTTTGAATAAATAAAATAGTAATGCATGTTAATTGAATTAAGTATATGTTGTATACTTTTAGAACATTGCAAAAAGTTTTGTCGAACTGCAAATGATATATATGTTGGATATACATCTTGCCTTAAGCTGTTAGTAACATAAAATCAGTAAAATTTATAATGGTATGTAATTGTAAATTCTTAATTTAACCTTCATTTAACACTATTTATTTTCCGTTCTTAATATTATTCTCGTTTATTGATTATTTAAAAATAAAATTAAAATATAATTGCTGTTAAGGTAATCACATGACATTACTTATGATATAAAAAAAATATTTCCTTTCTGTTTAACAATTATTAAATATGAATTTAACTTATTAAATTACATTTAATTTAATAATAAATTTTATGGGCTCAGTCGACATATTCAATTAAATATTAAATTTAAAAAAAAACAATTTAATATAATTAGCAATATTAAAAAATAAATTTTTATGCAATATTAACTAATTTCTTTGAAAAAAAATTCAATGAGTTTTGAATTATGAATAATTAAGTAATAATAAATTATTCATAATACAACTATTTGTGACACTTTGGAAAAAAAAGCACATCTCCCATACTTTTTACTGCAATTTCTTGCAATATTGCAATGTGGTGAAAGAGTTTGAATGGAAATTTCAAGTTTTTTTTCTTTGTCTTCTCCTTCTTCCACATACTAAAAAAGGAGATGCAGAAAAACAATCTATAATTTTTATTAAATTGTTAGACAGATTAGAGAATACTGGTGACTTATTTAATTAGTTTGTCAATTTTTTAAGAGCATATTTCATTCATACATGTACCAGCACAAAAAGCATTGCATCTTTTAACTTTACACTTTTAAGACAAGGAACTAAATAAGCATATTGTTAAATTTGGTAAAATATAAATTATTAAGTAGAAATAAAAATATTTCAAATTTCACTTGAATTTTAAAATTAAGAAATTTTTTTCCTCCTTATCAACAATCTTTCAGTGAAAGGAAAAAAAAAACTATAAAATAAAGATTTGTAAAAATTTTAATTGTACAAAACACATATAACATGATATTACCTAACAATAAATAAAATATTTAGTCATTTTTTTGTAATCATTAAACAGTAAATGAATTATATTTACTTCTTTATTAGGTAAATTTTTTAATAATATAATAAATTTTGAGTGTTGATTAAATATTTGCATAAAGCTAATATATCTATATAATAAGGCTTTCACAAAAATATTTAACATGTTTTGCTCATTATAGTTCGTAACATTCAGAAAGAAATTAAACAGAATTTACATTTTTTAAAAAATAATTCCTTGATGTAATAACGAAGTTTGGAAGGGTACCAGAATTATTTTGGCGTTAAAGGAGATGCAGAAAAATAAATAACAATAATTTTTGTTTAAGTGATAGACAGAATAGAAAATAATGGTTAATGATACTTTTTTAATTAGTGCATTGACCTTTTTTAATAAGCAAAATAATAGCAACAGTTTTTAAAGACCTGAGTTACATCTTGGCAGATAAAAATAGCAAAAATTAGAAGAAATTTTTTTTTTTTTGAAAAATAACAAGAGTGAATATTAAAATTAAAAAAAATTTTTTTTTAAAAATATATGCAAAAATAAAATTTAAGAACAAATATTAGAATATTGGATGAATTGTGAAATTTATAAATAATTTTGTCAATAAAATGATATTTACTTGTTTAATAATTAAATTTTTGCATAATATAACAAATTTCGAGTGTTCTGTCAAATATTTGCATAAAGCTAATATAATCCCGGTGGCTGAGCGGTAGCGCTTCGCGCTGTCGTGCCACAGGTCCCTGGTTCGATCCNTTCTGTTTCTCTTTGAAAATCGGTGAATTTTCTGAAAAAGCGGAATACTTATAAAAAAAAGTGACATTTTTAGAAAATCTGAATTTTTGATAAAAAAGCTGAAATTCAAGAGATAAAAGTGAAAAAAGCGGAAATCCGCTAAAAAGCGAAAAAATCTCATCCCTGAAAATAGTTAATGTGTTCAGTTCATAATAGTTTTTAACATTCGGAAAGAAGTAAATATAAATTTTTTTAAAAATAATTCCTTGATGTAGTAAAGAACTTTGGAAGGGAATTAAGAAAAGAGATGAAGAGAAATAAATAAGAATAATTTTTACTTAAATGTTAGACAGATTAGAAAAATAATGGTTAATGAAACCTTTTGTTAAATAGTGTATTGAAATTTTTTTAATAAGCAAAATTACAGTGATAGTTTTCAAAGAGCTCGATTATTTCCTAGCAGTTAGAAATAACAAATTTAAAAAACAAATTTTTTTTGAAAAATATAACCAGAGGGAATTTTAAAAATAAATTTTTTTTTTCTAAATATGTGCAAAAATAAAATTTAAGAACAAATATTAGAATAGTGGATAAATTTTGAAATTTATAAATAAATTTGTCAAGAAAATATATTAATAAAATTTTTTCATAGTATTTAGAAAGTAGCCTATTTCTTAAATACTATGAACAATTTTTATAAATATACTTGTTTAACAAATTTGTTTATAAATTTTACAAATAAGTGGATAAATTTTAAAATTTATAAATAAATTTGTTAAGAAAATATATTCATAAAAATTATTCATAGTATTTGGAAAGTAGCATATTTCTTAAATACTATGAACAATTTTTATAAATATACTTGTTTAACAAATTTTACAATTTATCCAATATTCTAATATTTGTTCTTAAATTTTATTTTTCTTCATGTTGTTTGTAGTAAAGGAGTAAGGTCAAATGCTTCAGTGTATTCTCTTTATCTAACCTTACAAAAGCATACTGTAATTGATGATACAGAAAAATAATGTAAAATTAATTTAACAATTTCATATATGATAGATTATTTAAAATATAATCTACAAGCATACAAACAAAGCTAGACTAAAACATACAAGTATGCTATAAACAAGTGAAGCAAGCTCAAATAGAAGCTATCCGAAAAGAACTGCAGAAGCAGTTTTATAAGTTGACAAGTGCAGGAAGCAGGTAATTAATGTAAAAAAAAAAAAAAAAAACAANATATAATCTACAAGCATACAAACAAAGCTAGACTAAAACATACAAGTATGCTATAAACAAGTAAAGCAAGCTCAAATAGAAGCTATCCGAAAAGAACTGCAGAAGCAGTTTTGTAAGTTGACAAGTGCAGGAAGCAGGTAATTAATGTAAAAAAAAAGTCCAGATATCTTTGGTTGTTTTCAGTATAAAATCAATAAAGGTTATAAGGATATTTAAAAGTGAATTCTTTATTTAATACTGTTTTACTAGGAATATTTTAGAATCTTTCCTTAATATTATTTTCTTTTATTAATTAGTATTTAAAATAAAACTAAAGGCTTAGTATATTTTTAAGTCAATCACATGATATTACCTTATTGTATAATAAAAATATTTAGTGACAGTTTTACAAACATTAAAGAGTAAATACACAATATTTCCATACAAATAAGTTGCATCTCATTTGATAAAGAAATTTTAGTTGTGCAGTTATACATATACAATTAAAATAATGAACGCAAATTAACTATTAAAAATTTTGAGCTATTAATAGTTAAAGCTTTGCTCAATGTCTTTCGTTTTTCAATGTCAATGTTTTCTCAATATCTTTGACAAAAATATTTAACGAGTTTTGTCGATAAAATGAATTAATAATAAATTTTTCATAATAGTCTAAAAAAAGCAGATATCCCTACTTTTTTGTATAATTTCTTTTTGTGGTCAGGTCTTAGCAGTGGGTGAACTGGGAGACCGCCCAGAGCCGCTAAAAATTAGGGCCTTGTTAATAGTAATACTTGTTAATATAGTTATGTTACAAGTTTTTTCTCTCGTTTCACTTTCTTGCCTCGTTGAGAAAATTTCTTTTAACTCTTCATAAATTACACTACTAGTTTTATATATTTCACAGTAGAAAAGGTTATCTTGTGGGGAGACGGTGTTATCAACAAAGTCAAACCTTATCAGTCAAAAGGTACCTTTAGATTGAATAGAGTTAGCAGGTTTTATATATTATTGAATTGATGTTTAGTAATTATAGTGGTAGTTACGCCACAACACCCTCCATCAGAATTTTATCAGGGATAGAACTCGATAAACGGATACCACTAGTTGCTGTGTTTGTGAATGACTGGGAGAGCTGTGTTAAGTTCACCGGATTCTGAGCACTTGTGGTGAAAGCTGTATTTAGCTCACGGTGGTGAGTGGTGTCTCTCCTGTGTTGCTATTAGCAGTTCAATGTGTATTGTTGCTCACTGTTCAATTCAACGAAGTAGAAGTGTTCATATCACGTCTGCAGGTCACCAATGTGGGAGACAGTGTTAGCGACTATGTCATCCCTCATCTGTCAAAAGGTAACTGTTGTTAATATGCAAA